CTCTCAGACTTTGTGGCACTCAACAAACTGCCTAGTTCTAATTTCCTCCTTTTTCTGCTGGTGTTCAACCCGAAGAAAAATGTTTGCGGAGGAAGGGAAAGTCGGATGGAAGACACATGAGCTGTAACACGCGATGTCAAGACCTGACTGACCGGAAGTTGTTCGGATAGACGAGGTATTATGGGTAGGTTATCGCTATTTGATGAGGTCAGGAGCAGAGGCGACGTCACTAAGAAAAACAACTGGAATGGGAGAAGAGAGGGCCTGCTATTTTCTGGGGAACTCAAGAACCTAACCTTGTTCAAGTAAGAACTAGTAATGTGGTGAGTGGTAATATATATATATATATATATATATATATATATATATATATATATATATATATATATATATATATATATATATATATATATATATATATACACACACACACATTTATACACATACACACAGTACCCAGAAACCATGAGTTGTAAAAATATTGACTCTGTACTATGGATATCACAACCCTTCGGCTTTGATTCCAAGAAAGATACCGTAAATCTGGGAGAAATCTGGCTTTTCTGTCTACCCTCGGGCGTGAACCCAGACCACAAGGAGTTCGTTACCCGGTCGCCGCGCAGTCAGGTTTAAGCACCTGAGCTAGTGAGCTTGACATTTATTTATACACACAGTAATATTAAATGTAAACCAATGGTTACAAAATAAAATTGAATTGCACAGTAAAGAAAACAATAAATTTCCTGAAAGAAAAAATAACAGTTGCGGGGGGGGGGGGGCGGGGGGAGCTGAGACCTTTCTGAAAGGTTCCAAAGAAGCTCAAGGTGCCCGAGCCTCAGGTTTCATCGCCCCTGGTCATGAGACATCACTGTTAGGCATCATCGTAATCCTCATGTGGCCTGCCAAACGGCGTAGGTGCTCGTGTCTCTCTACTGATCTCGGTCCTTGGTTGTTGTGGTTTTTACATCAATTCCACTAATGATATTCCACCCTGGCATCACCTCAGACCAGCAAGCATCGTCTCTCTCTTGGTCTGCCACTGCCTCTTCTACCATTGACCTTTCCAGTTTATTACGATGTTCTCAAATGCAGCTTTTGTCATCACATGACCAAAGAACAATGATGACCTTTTTTTTTTATTGTTGAATATAGTTTTTTTTTTTTTTTTTTCATTTCGTTGTGGATAAGCAAAATCAGTATAGCGGTTTGGTCTATTGTCTTTTTCCTATGTGTATGTGAGACTTGGAATCTCACTGTGGAAACATATAACTAACAAATGTCAGTGGAAAAATAAACAAATTTGAAGAATACTAGGAGCCTCTCTTGGCTGTGGTGAAAGGTCGCACGCTAACTTGGTTAAGACATGTGGTGAGACATGATTTGGTGAAAGGTCGCAAGCTAACTTGGTTAGGACATGTGGTGAGACATGATTTGGTGAAAGGTCGCACGCTAACTTGGTTAGGACATGTGGTGAGACATGATTTGGTGAAAGGTCGCACGCTAACTTGGTTAGGACATGTGGTGAGACATGATTTGGTGAAAGGTCGCACGCTAACTTGGTTAGGACATGTGGTGAGACATGATTTGGTGAAAGGTTGCACGCTAACTTGGTTAGGACATGTGGTGAGACATGATTTGGTGAAAGGTCGCAAGCTAACTTGGTTAGGACATGTGGTGAGACATGATTTGGTGAAAGGTCGCACGCTAACTTGGTTAGGACATGTGGTGAGACATGATTTGGTGAAAGGTCGCAAGCTAACTTGGTTAAGACATGTGGTGAGACATGATTTGGTGAAAGGTCGCACGCTAACTTGGTTAAGACATGTGGTGAGACATGATTTGGTGAAAGGTCGCAAGCTAACTTGGTTAGGACATGTGGTGAGACAAGATTTGGTGAAAGGTTGCACGCTAACTTGGTTAGGACATGTGGTGAGACATGATTTGGTGAAAGGTTGCACGCTAACTTGGTTCGAGCATGTGGTGAGACATGATTTGGTGAAAGGTCGCAAGCTAACTTGGTTAAGACATGTGGTGAGACATAATTTTGTGAAAGGTCGCAAGCTAACTTGGTTTGGGCATTAGGTGAGACATAATTTGGTGAAAGGTCGCAAGCTAACTTGGTTCGAGCATGTGGTGAGACATGATTTGGTGAAAGGTTGCACGCTAACTTGGTTAGGACATGTGGTGAGACATGATTTGGTGAAAGGTCGCAAGCTAACTTGGTTAGGACATGTGGTGAGACATGATTTGGTGAAAGGTTGCACGCTAACTTGGTTAGGACATGTGGTGAGACATGATTTGGTGAAAGGTTGCACGCTAACTTGGTTAGGACATGTGGTGAGACATGATTTGGTGAAAGGTCGCAAGCTAACTTGGTTAGGACATGTGGTGAGACATGATTTGGTGAAAGGTCGCAAGCTAACTTGGTTAGGACATGTGGTGAGACATGATTTGGTGAAAGGTCGCAAGCTAACTTGGTTCAGGCATGTGATGAGACATGATTTGGTGAAAGGTCGCAAGCTAACTTGGTTCGGGCATGTGGTGAGACATGATTTAGTGAAAGGTCGCAAGCTAACTTGGTTCGGGCATGTGGTGAGACATGATTTAGTGAAAGGTCGCAAGCTAACTTGGTTCGAGCATGTGGTGAGACATGATTTAGTGAAAGGTCGCAAGCTAACTTGGTTCGGGCATGTGGTGAGACATGATTTAGTGAAAGGTCGCAAGCTAACTTGGTTCGAGCATGTGGTGAGACATGATTTAGTGAAAGGTCGCAAGCTAACTTGGTTCGAGCATGTGGTGAGACATGATTTAGTGAAAGGTCGCAAGCTAACTTGGTTCGAGCATGTGGTGAGGCATGATTTGGTGAAAGGTCGCAAGCTAACTTGGTTCGAGCATGTGGTGAGACATGATTTAGTGAAAGGTCGCAAGCTAACTTGGTTCGAGCATGTGGTGAGACATGATTTAGTGAAAGGTCGCAAGCTAACTTGGTTCGAGCATGTGGTGAGACATGATTTGGTGAAAGGTCGCAAGCTAACTTGGTTCGAGCATGTGGTGAGACATGATTTAGTGAAAGGTCGCAAGCTAACTTGGTTCGAGCATGTGGTGAGGCATGATTTGGTGAAAGGTCGCAAGCTAACTTGGTTCGAGCATGTGGTGAGACATGATTTGGTGAAAGGTCGCAAGTTAACTTGGTTCGAGCATGTGGTGAGACATGATTCGATTGCACATAATATAAGACAGCTCAATCAGTAGAAGATCCTCCATCGACAGTTCTTTCAGCCCGTTACCATCATAGACAATCTCAAGAGATAGGCCAACCTGGGTCATGACGCCTGGCCCCAGTATCTCCTGCTGCGCTTCATCGGACACGTAAGGACGAGATGAAGGTGACTCAACATGTACTGGTGAGATTTGGTTTTATCAGTGTTGTCTTCTTCTTCTTCTTTTTCTTCTTCTTCTTCTTCTTCTTCTTCTTCTTCTTCTTCTTCTTCTTCTTCTTCTTCTTCTTCTTCTTCTTCTTCTTCTTTCTTCTTCTTCTTCTTCTTCTTCTTCTTCTTCTTCTTCTTCTTCTTCTTCTTCTTCTTCTTCTTCTTCTTCTTCTTCTTCTTCTTCTTCTTCTTCTTCTTCTTCTTCAAGGAACAAGGAACCATCAGTCTGCACACAGATCTGTCAGATCTGTCAAATGGATGCACACGCAACATTCAGGTTCTGTAACAGGACTGCAGCCTAGAAGTGGACAAACAACTAAAACTTTCCACCAGAGTTAACAGTTGGTGAACGCAAAGAAGAAGAAGAATAATGCTACTAGTGTTAAAAATATTCTGCTCGAATAATTACCCCCCCCCCCCCTTTTTTTTAATATCAAACCCCCCCCCCCCTCCACCAGTTTCCAGTTATAGCAGCACTAAGCACCATAGATCAACTCACGTATGACGTGTCATGCTCCATTCATCAATCATTACTTTTACTTTCAGTTCTCAAACTCTCACAGACCAATCAAAAAACGGAGCCACTGAAATACATTTCTCTGAGGGCGGAGCGAAAGGTTTCTCTGTCTGGCGTCGTGTCCTGGTGGGACAGCGCATTGATTTTTCACCTCAGCAGGACAGGTATGTCCTCAGGTGAAAAACGTGGAAATTTTACCTGGCGCTCACCGGTCCCATTCTGAGAAGCACTTTGTCATTGAGTTCCATAATTAATTAGTATTCCTGAGGCCTTCCAATATAAACGAAGAACTGGTTTGTTTCAGGTAGAAACAATCGCCAGCTCCGAGCTTAGACTGTGTGATGGTTTGGGAATTAATATAGTATTATGAACACTGCACAGCATATTTTGATTCTGGTAATCAGTCTTTAATTGCAAGTTACAAGTTTACATAAACTCAAGAAAGTTACACTTTGACAGTTACACTAAACATAGATTGCAATTCTAGCGAGGAGTCTATGAATTATAAGTGACAAGTTTATAAACATTAATTATCAGCAAAGCTCTGACTGCTCTGTTGAAGACTGAATCAAAATTGTGTGTTCCTAAACTCTTGTAACATTAAAAAATTCCTGTAATATCAGTCAAGTGACAATAAATTACCGTGACTTCAAAATATTGTTTCATTATAAACCGAGAAAACAACGCTGGCTGGTCCATGTTTTTAAGAAAAAACACAAACATTTTGAAATCTAAGCAGCGACTTGTTCCTGTGTGTGAGCTGACAAAGGCTTTCTAGCCGAAACGTTCCTTTTGTCATTCGTATTTTATTGGTGAACTGGCTAGTTTTATTTCTCGTTTAGACTTTATATTATTCTCCACATTGCGATCTAAGCAGTAGTTTTAGCTGAATCATCAACGAGACATTTCCTGCATTCGCATTTTGCATAATCGACAAATGCTAATTAACTGAAGACAAATTCGAGCTAACCATTTGATTATACTCGCCGCCATCATCGCTGTCGTCCAATAAACGTGAATTATTAAATTTGGCCTGATTTATCCATATTTTTGGCATGACATCGTGCAGTGAAAAATCTGGTCGCAAACGACGTAGGTCGGAAACGGAAGTAGCCAGCAGAGTGGACACAAAAGTTGCAAAATCTTGTCAAAATCTACTCATAGCATCCACAGACCTAGATTTAACCAATCAGAAGGAAGTGTTCAGATCATGTGAGTATTTCAAATATGACAACCGAATCCCACATCCGGTTTTAGATGGCGCCAAGACAGTTCAAACGAACACTGAAGACAGAAGCTATTCATCCATCCATCCTCATCCAGAAAATGCGATTTCTCACAGACTTCTCCAGGATATTGATACATTTTCTCGTCTCCAAGGATATTTTGTTTCCAGCATGGACTCATTACCAAACAACACAGCACCTGACTACAGCTCTAGCTTCTGCCTCTCCGAAGACTCTAGAAAATTCAATGCCGATTCAGTATTTGTGTGTCATCCATATTTATCCAGTTGTGAGCTGGATATTGACGTGTCTCTAACATCACCTGTCTCTGGGGGAGAAGTCGTTGTACACCGGAGGTAAAGAACTATGTAGCGTACCTTTTCTGTGTCTTTATATGTACAAATTTTCCTGCCTATTCATATATCTCAAAAAATCATGTCTGTTTGCTAATGTGACGTCTGTGGCTTGGGCGCTGAGAACGCGCTTAGTACTGCCCGGGTGCCAGGTTCGATCCCAGCTGCGGACGGTTTGGCTTGCGTTGGTTTCGATAGTGGTACCTCACGGTGTGGGTTCCGGGGCCCTATTATAGGGAAAACAAGAATAGACCCACTGCCTACCTAAAGGCATGTCGTAAGAGTCGACTAATTAGGAGCTTTCTTCAAAGTCGGAGTGCATCTGCCTGAGAGGCAAGGAACCAGCAGTCTGCATAAAAATGAGTCACATCTGTCGAACGGATGCACACGCAACGCTCAGGTTCTGGAACGGGACTGCAGTCCAGAAGTGGACGAATAACCAGAAATTTCTGCCAGAGTTTACAGCTTGTAAACCCGAAGAAGAAGAAGAAGATAGTGGTACCGACAGGTGACCGTTCAAAAGCAATAGCAAATTTGCCAAGAAAAACCAGAACAACGAAAAAAAAAAAAATGATGGGATTGATTCTGCAGCGGCCTGTAAACTATACGCAGCTAACTTTGCTAATGAATTCTAATCGCCGCAACGCTCTTTGTGTTTGTTTATTGTAATTGATTTTGTACAGCAGATATATATATATATTTTGTTTTGTTTTTCTTTCTTTTTTTCCCCTAGGCCTTAAAAAAAAAAAGAATAATCCAACGAACAAAGTGTGTGTTTGTGTGTGGGGGGGGGGGGGGGGGGGAGGCCTCTGGAACATATTAATCACTAATGGGGAATATAGTAAGTAAAGGACCCTTTTCCACGCCCTTAGGCGTACTGGGTATATAGGGCTAGACCTATGTTTATAGACCGATTGGGTAATTGGTAGATGATGTGGTCAGCATCATGCCGGCCGCCTTTACTTCCCAGGAGTATTTTTTTCAAGTACGACTTCGTCAGGACCCGAGCCCGCGACCTTCCGATCCACAGGCTCAGACATTGCAGGCTCAACCACAGGCTCAGACACTGCAGGCTCAACCACAGGCTCAGACACTGCAGGCTCAACCACAGGCTCAGACACTGCAGGCTCAAACACAGGTTCAGACACTGCAGGCTCAACCACAGGCTCAGACACTGCAGGCTCAATCACAGGCTCAGACACTGCAGGCTCAACCACTACAGGCTCAGACACTGCAGGCTCAACCACAGGCTCAGACACTGCAGGCTCAACCACAGGCTCAGACACTGCAGGCTCAACTACAGGCTCAGACACTGCAGGCTCAACCACACTCAGACACAGGCTCAGACACTGCAAGCTCAACCACAGGCTCAGACACTGCAGGCTTAACCACAGGCTCAGACAGACTGCAGGCTCTCAAGGCTCCACTGCAGGCTCAGACACTGCAGGCTCAACACTCATAGGCTCAGACACTGCAGGCTCAACCACAGGCTCAGACACTGCAGGCTCAACCACAGGCTCAGACACTGCAGGCTCAACCACAGGCTCAGACACTGCAGGCTCAACCACAGGCTCAGACACTGCAGGCTCAACCACAGGCTCAGACACTGCAGGCTCAATCACAGGCTCAGACACTGCAGGCTCAACCACAGGCTCAGACACTGCAGGCTCAACTACCACATGCATAAAATAAAGATTGTACAATCCCCACAGTGTGCCTGTCAAACAGGACCGCACACACCTGAGCACCTCCGCACTCTACATTCAACTTCGAAAAGACACCTGGCCTCAAGAGCAAAGTGCAGAGCAAGCTATGGGGAACCATGCAGAACCTGCAGCTGACATGCGAGTTCATAGAGGCAACCCACCTGATGGTCTGATATGATCATACGAAACCGAACGCAAATAATAAGAAAAAGAAGTTTAAAAACCTGACCAGTTTGACTTAAAACAAATGTTAACGTTCTTTTGGGTTTATATTGCAAGGTCTATATTTTATAGACCAGTTTTCTCTCGGGGGGGGGGGTGGGGGGGGGAGGGGAGGGGGTCGGGGTGATGTGGTCAACATCACACCGATTGCCTTTACTTCCTATGACTACCTAATACCCGTTTTAGGCTGGGTGGTTTTAAGAAAACATCACCCGAAGCGGGTTTGAACCCCTGATCTTCGGACGCCCAGGTGAGGGTATGGTCGCTGCAGCACGGTGGCTCCCAGATCAGCTACCCTATGGACAATCATTCTTCAGACGTGCAAGCAAATGTGGCATGCTTTCGATTTTACAACCGACACAGTTTGAAGTTATTATCTGTCCTTTGTACGCACAAGTCTGAAGAGCGTGACAGGAATATCGTCGAGGCAGAGATAACTTTGTCTGTTTTGTTGTAGTGGACAAGACCAAACACCTCTAATAATAGTAAAGTAAAAGTGAACATCCTTTTCACGCCTTTTAGGTGTATCAGTCATATGGGAATAGCACCCATATTTTTACAGACCAGTCAGCACTATGTGGATAATGCATTATGCCGGCCGTCTTTACTTCCCCATGACATCCATCCTGGTTCTCATTTTATGCTATGTCACCTGCGACGCCCCATACCATGATAAAAATTCACGCAGCCAGCAGTGGGTTTCGATCGCGATACGTTGGAATTACGAGTCGGACTCGCAACACTAAGCGGCTGTAATAATAGTAGTGTGATAGTATGATTATACATTTCATATGATTTCAAATGCATTATTATACTTATTTACCATCCAGCAGATTGTTATTATTATGCTCTTAAACTAAGATCTTGTCTCTTGAGGCTTCCTATTTGCGTAGAAAATTTTGCATCGTCCTCTCTCTCTCTCTCTCCTCTCTCTCTCTCTCTCTCTCTCTCTCTGTGTGACTCTCTCTCTCTCTCTCTCTCTCTCTCTGTGTGACTATGTGACTCTTAGACTAAGCGACTTTCTCTGAGACTCTCTCTCTCTCTCTCTCTCTCTCTCTCTCTCTCTCTCTCTCTCTGGGACTCTCTCTCTCTCTTTCTGTGACTCTTTTTCTCTTGGACTCTCTCCACGCCGGATTCTTTCAGGTGTAGCGCCTGAAAAATAAAACAATCCCAACCTGCACAGTCCGTGGCGACAGCACCTGTCACGCGGTCCTAAATCCCCAGGCTAATGATCCCCTGTCCACACCCCTTAAAAACACAGTAGTGACAGTTTTTCAAATACCAGGTTGACATGTTCCCATAATTTCTATTTTTCAGATCGAGCGCTAACGCCAGGGAACGACGACGCATGCAGAGCATGAACGCTGCCTTTGATCGTCTGCGTGGTGTCATCCCTTCCTTTGGAGGAAACCGGAAGCTGTCCAAATACGAAACTTTACAAATGGCTCAAAGCTACATCACCGCTCTACAGGATGTGCTCAAACACTGAACCAGAAGACATGATCTAGACAAAATGGATATAATATGGCATAGTCCATCATTTGTGGTATTGAGATGTGTCAGAGACCATTGTTTGTGTTGATAAGATGTGGTTGAGTCCATTGCGAGTGGTGTTAAGCGTTTACAAAGACTAACGAACAATCATTTAGCCACATAGCTGGGTACATGAGAGCAGTACTTGCTGGAGCCGGTACAAATACACTCATTATAGCTTATTTTGAGACTGAGTGTGATGTCTGTGGTTTTCCCTGTTGGTCTGCCAGAATTTTCCAATACATAAATTAATTTAATATTTGAGAAAATATATTTCAATATAAAAAAATCAGCTTCTTATATTGTTTCAACTGTTTTGTTGCTGGTTGTTTTACAAAAGTAAGTAAAATTTAGATCCCTTATCACGCCTAAGGCTCATGGGCCATATGGGAAGAGCACCCATATTTTTACAGACCAATCACAGTGGTTCTCAACCTTCCTAAAGCCGGGACCCTTTAAAACAGTTTGCTCACGTTGTGGTGATAACCCCCCTTTTTTTTCTAACCATACAATTATTTTCGTTGCTGCTTCATAACTTCAATGAATATGTGTTTTTCGATGGTCTTATGCGACCACTGTGAAAGCGTCGTTCGAACCCTAAAAAGGTCGCGAATCACAGGTTGAGACTCCCTAAATCAAGCGCATAGCGCGAGAAAATTTGTAATATAACATAGAAGTGCAAACTGTAAAGGTTGTGAGAAAGAAAAATACATACGTTGTTCACCCACGAAAGTGAGTAGGCTGGGCCAAAACGCTAGGGCCAAACTTTTCACACCCAAATCGAGACGCTGTAAACAACTCTGAGCAGACAGGGGAAATGTTACTTGTAACACAAAACTCTGGGGGCTGCATGGTCTCCAGGCATAGTGTCCGCCTCGAGCGCTAGAGGTCCCTGGTTCAGGCCCCGGTGAAGGCTAAGAATTTTTCACGTGGACCTCTAGTAAATTTCCCTAGTCTCTGGGCATTAAGATCGGACGCCCGAGTGTATTGCTGCGCACGTTAAAAAAAATCCCCTGGCAGCTGGAAATCAAAAAGAGTAGCCTGACGGCGCTGCAAAATTTGGAAATAAAAATCTACCCAATATATTTCAGCATCCTCGGCGGTACTACGGAGCCCGTGCCCTGCGCTGAGCTACTTCAGACTCAGAATTGAGTTAGAGGTATAGCGGAGCACTTATGGGTTACTTTCCTTGTGTCATAATGAGTTAAGTTGAGTCGAGAATTAACATCACAGCACTCGGGGCATTCCCATACATGCTCTGTCCTCATCTTCAGCTTGTGCCATAATGTTGATCCGTTGTTCCAATCGCAAACCTCAAACTCTGTCGCCTGCCGATGTGAAGCACCAGAGCAAACCACAGTGCACATTTTTACAGAATTTTGTTAGAGATGTCACACAGGAGCTAGATTTCAAGAAAAACTATCGAGTGCTGATGAAGACCTCAGACACACCGTCCTGTCTGTAACTAGCGCTGGAATAGACACACTGCAAATGTCGATAGTTCTTCTTCTTCTTCGTCAGCATTCCGAGCCCTTGAGGTTCATTGCTGCAGATATCACCCGCCTCCTCTCATCTCTCTGGTTACCTTTCTCTTTCCAGTTGGTGACACCAAGTGTTTGCAGGTCTGTTTGGACATTATCTCTCCATCGTCTTCTTGGTCTGCCTCGTGGTCTATGACAACTCAGCTTCTTTGTGTAGACAGTTTTTACCTCCCTGCCATCTGACATTCTTACTATATTATAACTGTCTTCCATACATAGTTTGGTCATGGTAATTAACTTCTTTAGTATTGCAAAATACTTCATAGCATTTAATAAACTTTTTCTATACACACTATCAAAGGCTTTTTTTCAAAATCAACAAAAAACATTATATAAATATCTTCTATATTCCCAAGTTTGCTCTGCTATTTGCCGTAAAGTGAATGATCCTTTGACTATCTCTTCCGTCGGAAACCTGCTAGCAATCACCCATTATATCTTCGACGTATGGTTTTAGCCGGTTTAGAAGTACCGAATATAGTACAGCATAGTTTGTAGACAGTACTGCTTTTCCTCGACAATTTTCACATTTATACACGTGATAACAGATATATCGTCGTTTCGGTGGGAGCCTTTCTCCACATGAACCACACAGCATTAAAAAGGCAAAGTACTCCAGTAAAGTTTATAAAATATGGAAAGTGGGGAAATAATATCACATCGCCCCTTTTATTTTCTCTTCCTTTACTATGCTTCCAAACGTAACCCACTGAAGTCGCAGAGCCTGAAAAACGACATGAGGTTTGATGTTTGATGTTTAAACAACAGATCAACATCACGGCACACTGGGTAGTATCACATAAGTGATCCGTTCTTCTTCTAATTCAAGCCTGAGTCCCAAGAAGCTCAGCACAGTGCACATGCTCTGTAGCACCGGCGAGGATCCTGAAGTGTTTTTGGGTCGATTTTTATCTTAAAATTGTGCCCGTGAAGTTCCGTTAGGCTTCTCTTTTCGATTTCCAACTGCCAAGGGATTATTTATGTGCGCAACAGTGCACACGGGCATCCGATCTAACTACCCAGAGACCTTGAGGAATTACTAGAAGTCTAAGTCCACGTAAAATATTCGCAGCTCTTACCGGAGATTAAACCATGAACCTCTAGCACTCGAGGCGGACACCCTACCACGAGACCAGGCAGACCCTGGAAAACGACATTTGACACCCCAAGGACAGTATGTGCCGTGGGACTACTTTTTTAATGAGAAGAGAAATCCGTTCTCGTTAGGCATAGTACATTATTCATGACATCATCTGCTACCACACGACCATACTACAATTCCCAAACGTAAGAATACATGATCAGAAACACACAGTTGCAATTATCAATAAACACTGCGCAACCTCATTATTGCCCCAACAGGGGTTGAATCAGATAGTGGTTTATTTAAAGGGTCATTATGTCAGAAGCACCTCATTAGATAGGACCCTATTCCACGTCTTCAGTGGCATTGGTCATATAGTGCTACATCCAAATTGTATCGACCAATCAGCACAGTCAAAATCACACCAACCACCTTTACTTCTCAAGACTTTTGACTTTTACTCATTTAAGGCTGGATCGTCTTGGGAGCCAAGGTGATTTCACAGACACCACAATACAATTAAAATTAATATCTAATGTTTTTGATGAGGGCTTTTTTTTTTTTTTTTTTAGCAAAAATAAACAGTGCTGGTACATAGATGATAATTCGTTAGAACAAACATTCAAAACACATGAGAAGTTTAGGCTGTTAAATTTTGACGACAGATAAACATCATGACACAAGGGGAGTAACCTGTAAGTGCCCAATTTACTTTTAGCTTAAGCCTGGGTCCGAAATTTCTCAGCGCAGTCCACGAACTTCGTTGTACCGACGAGGATATTGAAATACTTCGGGTAGATTTTTAACTCCATATTTTGCCTGGGCAACGCCATTAGGCTACTCTTTTAGATTTTCCAACTGTCAAGGGATTTTTTTTACATGTGCAATAATACACACGGGTGTCCGATCATATTATCCAACGTCAAAGGAAAAATTACTAGAGGTCCACGTAATAAAAAAATCCCAGCCTTTACCGGAGCCTGAACTCGGGATCTCCAGCACTTGAGACGAATACCATGCCTCTAGACCTCTCAGTGGATCTTCATGCAACAATTACAATCTCGCCCGTAAGGTTATTCTGTGGATCGGTTTGGATACCTACTCATCGCTTCATCGCCTTTAATAATAAAACTTTAATGAGATGAACCCAGATAGTTACCGGAGTTAACACAGACACGGCGAACAATGGAAACCTTAATCATTGAAACTTGAAGGATGACGGGAAATCAGTAATCTCAACCCCAGATCTTCACAACACCAACATGATAGCTGGGCACTAAAAACTAGACAATGGAGATAGCAGGCGGAGTGTACACGATTCTGGGTTGTCACCCAAAAAAAAAAAAAAAACTGAAATAAAATTAGAATGTTTTTGATTTGATTTTCTCGTGGTATCCAATACATTATCAAATGTCATTTTCAATTTTGTTAGGAAAAAAAAATCTGCTCCAGCGTTGGTTAAACATGAAATGTATATATGGAGTCTGTAACAATGGTGTATTTATTTGTTACTATATTTCTTCTTGCACTCACTGTTTACATATCAGTGCTGACATTGGTTTCAAAAAGGCTTTCTATAATACCGTCCGTGGCACTTGTGTTGCATTGTGCGTGTGTGTGTGTGTGTATACATATACATACACATACATACATACATACATACATACATACATACATACATACATACATACATACATACATACATACATACATACATACATACATACATACAACATACATACATACATACATACATACATACATACATACATACATACATACATACATACATACATACATACATACATACATACATACATACATACATACATACATACATACATACATACATACATACATACATACATACATACATACATACATACATACATACATACATACATACATACATGCATGCATACATACACACACACACACATACATACAAAAACACATACGTTCATACATACACACACGAACACAAACAAATACACAAACATGCATGCATACATGCGTACGAACATACATACATACATACATACATACATACATACATACATACATACATACATACATACATACATACATACATACATACATACATACATACATACTAGGGCTGTACCGAATATTCGCTTCGTATTCGCTTCGGGGCCGAATAGTGGATCTAATAGCTATTCGGTATTCGACCGAATAGTGGCGGTCGGGCCGGATACAAATAGTGATTTCTGCACACACTGCAATGGACTAAAATAACTCTCTCATTAACACAATAGTTGCCGTTGCCTAAAGTTTGTCCACCGACTTCTGCAGCCTGAGTCGGCCGTGGTC